GGCGAAAAAATTGTCCACTGCTTCTTGTTTGGTGCCTGTCACCAGGTGATCATCAACATAAACTCCCACCACGGTCCAACCTTTCACCTTCCCACTTGTAGTATAAACACATGTCCGTGGTGCACTGTTGGAAATCTTCTTCACTCAGCTTCGATTATAGGAGCTTGCTTCACAGTCGTCCAGCTTGCTTCAGTCCATAGAGTGACTTCTTCAACATTAGTGCAGCTTCCTGAGTCTGTTTCGCTCCAACACCTTCGCCTTTGCGGTCAATCGCATGTCCTTTGGTATCGTCATGTGTAGGTCCAGGTGTTCCTGCTTTCTGCCTTTACGTAGGCATTTGGCACATAGCCATGACGTGCCGGCACGTTCCATCTTCTGGAGAGCACCAAAATCAGCTTGACGGTCGCCAAATTCATAACCGCCGCAAACGTGAAATTGTAGTCGATGCCGAAAACTTGTTCGTTTCCGCATACAATCAAACGAGCCTTGTATCGTTCGATACCACCATTCGCATCCGTCTTTGTATTGTATACCCACTTGTTGTGCAGGACGTGCGCGTCTCTTAGAGGCACGACTATCTCCCACACGTCGTTCGACTTTATTGCATCCAGCTCTTCAGTCACGGCTATAAGCCATTGATCACGATTCTTGCCATTCATCGCTTCACTTAATGCTTCGGGTCTTGATCGGTGACGACAATCACGACATCACGGTTTTCTAACGTGGTATAGTCCTTTAACTTCTTTGGGTGATCCACTCTCGTCGACCTTGTGCCGTGACGTTCCCTAGTCCAGAGAGCTTTTCGAACCTTGTGGACCTATTTTGCACGTCTCGCACCATCTTGATGATCTTCATCATCAACCTGATGATTACGTCTTGGCTCCTCATGACGGTTTACTGCATCATGATGAGTCTTCTTGTCATCGTGGTTATCTGTCAGTGCTTGAACGTTTTGCATTTATTGAGTCACTATGACCACCTTGTCCACTGAAATGTACACCTTGTACCCCTTCGTTCGCTGCCTAGTCCAATGATGATGCCCGCCCTGCCTCGCTCGCCGAGTGATTTGTTGCTCAGATGATTATGCTTAGTACATGTTGAACCGAAAGCAACTAATTCCTTCAGCACGGCAGCCTTACTCGTCAGAAATTTTATAGGTGACACTCCTCCAGGATTCGACTTGGTGCGGCTACGGTTCAAAATGTACGCGGCGTACTCTGCGGCATCGCCCCAAAACGACAGTGAAAGGTTTGACGCAAAGATCATGCTCCGCACCATGTTCATGATGGTGCGGTGCATCCTTTCAGCCTTGCCGTTGCTCGCTCGGTTTCTCGCTTTACTTACTTGACGCGAGACGCCTATTGTCGAGCACAACGGATCGAGGGTCTTGTACTCTCCTCCACCGTCAGTGCACAAGACGTGGTTCTTGCATTTAAATTCACGTTCGTAGCTCGCCATTAAGAGTTTAAACATCAACACAGCTGCATCCTTCGTCCTGGACAAAAACACTCGACAGTAACTTGACCGATGATCAATGAAGTTGACCACGTATCAGTTCCCCAAACGGTCTCGTAGGGTCATGGGGCTCTTGAGGTCCGAGCATATGACGCCCCCGATCACGTCAATTGGTGAGTTTGCGCCTGTGTCTCTCTTTGACTGGGCCGCCTTGGTTTGCTTACCCTTGGCACAGGCCATGCACTTCTGTCGTGTCGTGTCGTGTAAGTCAGACGTATGCACGACGCTGGGTCTTCAGCCCATTTCAGGACTGTGTCGAGACAGAGGTGCCCCGGACGCCAATGGAAATCCATAAGGTGTTGCGCTGAACGTCCGAAACGGATTCGTCATCAGGTGCGTCCATGACCATCATCATCAAATCTCGTGATGGTATTGAAGTCCGATCACTGTAACTCATCACATTAACAATAATAACGTTGATGGAGCTTTCTACGTCCATGATGGGTGTGCCACTCACTCCGGAAGACAACACGCGCCTTCCTCCTCGATATTCGAGCACTCATCTCTTAGCCTCGAGCAATCCAAACAAAGGAATGTTTCGCTTAAGGTTTTCAGCGTACTGGACGTTAAAGAGCCTCACTGTGTTGACGATCCCAAACGCAACGACTGAACGTCCACAGTGCCTTTCAGCGTGATACGTAGCGCGCTCCCATCGAAGGCTGCGGTCGTGCAATCACTATTGTAAAAGGTTGGGTCGGTGAGTAGACTTGGTCGTTAATCAAATGTCTACTCGAACCGCTGTCGAGTATCCATTGATTCTGTGAGTCGCTTGCACCACGAGCAACCATAAAGACAAAATTCGAACCCGATGCCTTTTAATTACCCTAAGGGCACCGCGAGCGGATATGTCCGACTTCGCTACACTTGAAACACGTCCGTGTGTCTATTCTTGTCTGCGTCGTCCTTGGTTTTGATTTCTCCTTGAGTTCCCCTATAGGTTCGACAGTATTCACCACGTCGCGCCCCAATTGTCTTGCGTGGGTGTCGACCTCCGTTTAGTGCGCAAATTGAGCCAATTCCTCTGTTTGACGCAGGTAGTCGAGCCGGTTGGTGTTTAACTTGGACAACATCGTTGTTCGCATACGTGGATCAGCATAATGGACGATGTTGTCCAGCACGAGGTTGTTGGTGCCACCACAGGCGTCACTGATGGCCGTCAGGTACAAGAAGTGGTCCGTCCAGTTTCGGTGGGTTGCCTTGGGTGCCGTAGATAACTTCATGCTCTGCGCCGGTGAAATCTTCGTGGTAAATGTCTTCAGCATTCTCTGCATTGTATGTTCTAGGGTGTTGCTCTCGAGCCACCGTGTCTCAACCTGCCGACGATAGTACTTATGTGCCTTGGAGCCACCGTGTCTCAACCTGCCGACGATAGTACTTATGTGCCTTTCGGCTTTGTGCCTTTCGGCTAGGTGCCTGCCTAAAACATCAACCTTAATGCCCTTTGGCCACGCGAAACTACATGCACGCTCTGCAAATCCGACTTTGCGGACGAATTCCTTTCCCCACTCCATGAAGCCGCTACCGAGACCATGGAAGAGCTCCTTTTCATCGAAAGGTTGCAACGCGAGCTTCCGTTGTTGTGCATCCGTCATGTCGATCCTCGGACGACCAAGGTGACCACACCCTTGGTTGGGAACACCCATGCCGGGATGGTACCCCGCAGGTATGCCTACCCCGTATTGCCTGGGGTCGGGTCCTTAATTCATGTTGACGCCCAGGTCTGCGTATCTTGCAGGAAGGGCTTCAACACCTGCCTGATGTTGTTGTCGCCGTAAGCCAAAAGTGGTCGCTGCCGACACGGTCAAAGATACCATAGGAGGGCTTCCGTCCGACGCCTTGGTGTTGATCCCTGCCGCGACCTCCCTTTTCCGATAATCGGTACGTAACTCGGGTGAGTCCGCGTTCATCCTGCCGCCTTGTTCTCTCCCGGAGGACTCCATCCGATTCATCCTTTCGGACATGTCCCTGAGTGTGACCAGCATTTTCTCGATCGCCTTCTCAGGCGCTGTCGACTTTTCTTCCAGGTAGTGATCGTTGGCATTATCCTGGCCATCGACCACGACGTCCGGTGCCGCTGGTTTAGCCGCACCGCCAACACGTTTGTTTGTGCACCTAACCTGTTGTTCGTTGGTGCACTTGTGCATGTGGAGTAGGAAGTAAAAGTAAAAAATGTTGAGTATGAAATATCCTTCGTTCACACTACCACATGTACTTGATGACCACCACTGCAACTTGAGCTGGTCAAGTTGCATCTGGCATACGTCCAGCGTGCCCATCACCGTATGTCATCCCTGGTCCCACATGACGTCCGCATATCGGTATGCAGGTCCTCAGTCCCAAATGTCGCGCCTCGTCCCATATGTCGCGCCTGTACCACATGTCAGCATGACAGCCGATCAGGTGAGGTTGCACTTTACCTGTCACAGGTCTTGCCGTCTTCACCCTGAGTTTCATGACCTGTTAGAAGCAATGTTTTCTAACATGGCACATTCAACCTCGGGAGGAGTAAGCAAGTTATTGCATGGTGTCGTATCAATAAAATGCTGAAGGAGCTAGACCACAGGCGTGAGCGGTATCTTTGGTATTTCTTACGTATAACTTGCTAATTAATGGTCCAGATTATCGAGAAATACCTTTGTCGAAAAACAAATCTTAAGATGAATTGGGATTTTATATTTAAGATTTTGAAGGAAGGGTGTGAATCAAAGGAAAAGAGGTGTGAATTTAGCAATTCCTAAACTTATCGGGGGAAAATTTACCGGAGAGAAGACTGTTCTGACCTTTAGAAATTTATGCTGCATTCTTGAAATTTAGGCTTTGTTTTCAAACTAGATGTCCTGTAATGTTTGAAACGGACTCCGGACTGCTTTTAATTTTTATGCAAATATTTGATGCCGCCCAATTTTGAACTAAATAATTCCATGGACCTCAACGTTTGGAAAGTATTCGATTGTCCAGCCCTCTTCCATAGAATATAATGCCCAAATAAAAGGTCAGTGGACGCGAGGTTTATTACTTAAGCGAGAATTTGCTGAATGAGATATGACTTATTGAAGGCCGAATGTAGCTCAAATTGCTTCGTCATTACTATTCTTGATCATTTAAATGAGCAATCTTAGACGTTTTGCCGCACACGTACTGCGATGGATTCAAGCCCGCCTACTCATGTTCGACACGATCAATCTCTATGTAATGCATACTTCTTCGATACTTTTTCTTGCTCCAAGTATTACCTGACGGGACTTTGAACTCGTCGTGTAAGCACGCAATGAAAGAATTTATGCTCAGGGAAAAGCCCAAATGAAATTGGATTTGAGGCTTGGTAGCGCAGTGCTTATTCACGACACATTCCTTCACCCATGGATCGTCTTGATTTCCTGACAAGCATCAACTTTTAATCGACAACCTGATTCAAGCTCAGGTAAAGTCTACTCATGCATTCTAGGTATCTCAGCTGTCCTAAGCGTTTAACTGTAGGTAGCTAATTACCACGTACGTGCGATAGCCGATACAAATTGCCCCTGGCGTTGATCAGCGTCATCCCGTTGTTGCTGTAGCTGACGCTGCGCTCGGGCATTGGTGCGTTTCTTCTGCTCGACAGCTAATACGTCCACATACTCATGCAGCGGAAGACCGTGAGGATCGAACTTGTCCTTTGGAAAGTTGGACCGCAGCTCGTCGATGCCAAAATACTCGATCACCTTCTCAAGGATGTACGGGTTCCGCACTTCCTTCTTGTCCTGCAGCGTCGTCTGGAAGTCCTGGCCGCGTTCGCGTTGCATCCGTAAGAACCGCTCTATGCGCTGCTGCGTCACGTTATCAGCAGCCAAAGAATCCGCTGCCGGCGGTATACCCACTTGCAGTAGCATCGCCTCCAGATCATGTTCAGTAAGAGGGGTATCTGCTTCACGATCTGTGAGTCCGACCTCTTGCTCAGCAGTATCGTTGCTAGGCCGGACTAAACAGACTTCATCCGCTTTCTCAGAGACCGTGGATCTTGAGTCTACAGATGCTTGTGCAGCACGGGAAGGAGATGGAGTAGAAGAAGGCTTGGAATGGGTCACCCCCAGTGATCGTGTACCCTCCTCATCCGATGAAGACGACCCATACTCGATCCCTAGCGAGTTCATTGGAGCTGCGCTGCTTCTTCTGGTCAGCTTGGTCGCAGCAGTTTTGATCACTTTTGACCTCTTCCCAAACTTGATATTTATGTAGCCATGGACTCTCGAATACCGATCGCTGCTGGTGGGTAAGAAAGACGTTAGCTTGTGATCCTGTTCGAGGGATGCTCGTCTTATATCCATTGTGTGGGGCGCGTGAGCGCCCGTGTAGATGAAAAGGTCGACGAGCATGTACGGCACAAGTCCAACTTTGACACAGCAAACGTTGCTCGATGCTTTTGTACTGGCGGGTGGACAGGTTGACTTGAAAACTTACGAGATCATTAGCCTACAAAGATTGACCTCCTATGGCAGTCATCGGCGGCTTCAATATTCTGATCTTGCTCTCGCCCGTAGCGAAGAGAGTAACACTATCCAAACTCTGCTGCATTCCCAGCTATGGAGCGAGAAGGGGACTACGAGCAGCCGACTTCATCTGGCATCTGCAGCTTGTTGTCGGCTTTTGACGTGTCCCCATGCAGAATCTTGCGGAGCACACGCCACGCACGTATGCCCAGCAACCTTCAAAAGGTGTGGAGTGGCTGCATACTCGACTCTGTGTGTTACGTTTCTTCACTTGGTGCAAGGATTTTACGCCCACCTTACCGTTCTCCTGTGCTTATATCAGACAAGAGTTCGCACAGGGTCGTGCGTTCGCTATGTCAGCCTTCTGAAGGTACGCTATCAGAGGCTTGGCCATGAGAGTGACGGTATCTACATGTTGCGTTGGGCTGGTTTTAGTTGATCCTGTGGTCACAAAGATGCTAGCCAAGCGCCTGGTACACATATTGTCTGGTCGAAACGATGGTCACGTAGCAGTGGCCCGTGGACAGGGCATAAAGGTCGAATGTTTTGTGCTGGTGTGGGAACGGCGAGTAAGGAACAATGGACTGCAAGGTAGTAGTAGTAGTATGACCGTCACGAAGTAGAATACGTAGCACCTGTCGTCAACATCAGCGCGTGTAACACGCGTAAAAGTACCACACCAGCCAAGATAGACTACAGCTCAAGTAGTTAGTTAGTTGCCGAGGCAGTCAACTTTTACTACAGGCATGAACCGGAGTGACAAGGGCTTGCAATTGTGATTGTACTCTCCGGTTGCAATGACGCTCAGATAGCGCACGATGTACACGAAGATGTCACGCGACGATGTGTACAATGGACCACAAGCTTGTGGCCAAGTCTATAAATTCAGCGGCGGTGGCGTAAATTATCCCGTAGAAGACACTCGTTGAGTTGATCATGCCCAGGGTGAAAACGGAAGGGTTTACGGCCTGATATTGATATGCGCAAGCTACCTTTATTTTCTCAGGTATATGACGAGTTCTCGTTGTTCAACCTCGCGGAAGTTCGATGCTCATTTTGCCGCACTCCCGGCAACGTCCCCGCTATCGTTTACATGTCGTCCCACTATTTTGTGTAACGTGTTTATGTATCGTGTGGGGACAGCACATTGCTCGGATGCGTCGATGTAGGACCAAAATGTTTCCGAGGTTCGTGCCGTAAATCCTACCAAACTAGAGTCATAAAGTGTAAGTGCCACCCTCGCCTAGCGTCAACACTGTCGCGTGGAACTGTTCACGCAGGACCCGAAGATCCGCGCGCAACGACTTCCAGATCTTATACCAGGCGTAATCCAAGTCACGCACATCAACAAATCCTGAAAGTCCCTCGTGTCTGTTCGAAATCTTCATCCGACAGTATACTAAGATTCAGCCAACGCGTACATTCGAGCCAGCTCGACATCGTCGTTCAGTCAGTCTCGAGATTCCGCTGTAGCGCACAGTCGCAGAGGATCGATACGTAGATATCCCCTCCAGCCACATGATCGACACGGGCGTGTACCGCTACGAGCGCAACCGCGAAAGCCACGAGTTCTTCAGTCCAGGCCCGTTATCCTCTGCACGTACCGCTACCGCCCCGTCCGCCATCTTCAACCTTGTGAGTACCATCATCGGTGGCGGTATCTTGTCCCTCCCTTTTGCGTTTGACAAGTGCGGGCTCGTTGTCGCGTTGATCTTTATGGCCATCGCTGCCTCCGCCTCCACTTTCAGTCTCTACGTCGTTGTGAGTTGCAGTCGACGTGGACGTGCGACCTCATACGAAGAAGTGGTACGCAAAGCCCTGGGAGCTCGAGCTGGCCACGTAACAGTCGTGCTGCTCGTGCTGCTTACGTTCCTCACACTTGTGGCATACGTCATCCTCACCAGAGATCTAGTGGGGTCACTCGGCGAAAAGTTCCTCTTCAATCGCCCCATCTCTGGGGCCGAGCAGAACGGTCTAACCATCCTCTGTGTGCTCCTCGTGTCGCCGGCGCTGCTCGCGCGCTCGATGAATGCATTACGCTTTACTTCCGTCTTCAGTCTCATGTCGGTACTTGTGCTGGCAACGACAATCACGATCCGGGCAATCGGTACTGTCGTCGCTGGTCGTGACGATGGGACGGTCGAGGCCGCTGTCCGGGTCCCAATCAAGCTGGTTCCTGACAGCTGGGTCGATGCTGCCTACGCTTTCCCCATCATCTCGGTGGCGTTCCTCTGTCACTTCAACGTGCTGCCCGTGTACCGAGAGCTGCACAAGCCGACGCGCCACCGCCTGAAGAAGATTGTGGCATCGACGATGTTCTACACGTGGTTGTTTTGCATGCTTGTCGGGACCATGGGCTATCTCTTTGCGTTCCAGCAGCCAGGAGGAGTGCAAGGGGACATCCTGAACAACTTCAGTGTCGATGACCACCTTGTGAATATTGGACGACTGGGCTTGTTGATCACGATTCAACTCAGCCTGGCACTCATTATCCAGCCTTGTCGAGCAAATGTCCTTCGACTTGCTCGGATTATTCAGAGCTACGTGCGAAAACATGCCACAGGTTTCGATTCAGAGGACGGAGACTCTTTTGGAGAAGACACAGCGCTTCTGGCGAGTGCCAGGCCGACTACTACTTCATCGGATGGCGCACTTGATGCTTCTACACCATTGGGGTTTCAAGCACGCGTTGTGCACGTGCTGCTAACGGTTGGCATCATGGCCAGTGTTGTTATCATTGCACTGATCTCGCCGGGGGTGGCTATCGTGTGGAACCTCATGGGCTCGACTGTCGGCCTACTCGTTTCCTACGTCTTGCCGTGCGTGTCCTACGTGAACATCCGCCATGAGAAGTCAAACCTGGACAGACGTAAACTTACGGCCTGGATTATTCTGGTGCTTAGCTCGGTCGTTTGCGCTGTGTGCACGGTGCAAGCATTCGTGTCGGTCTTTTTCCTCTAGACAACACAATGTGAGTAGCAACGACAAGTGCACCAGATGAGCCGCTTTAGCTTTTGACAACAGTCGGTTCTGCCATCGCCTTCAAAAGTTCTTTTGCATTCGGATCATGTGGCGCTGCCAGCTCTAGCCACTTGCGCGCTGTGTCCAAGTCCTTGGGTACCTTTCCATAACCACTACGATACATCTGCGCGAGGTTCACCATGGCCATCACGAACCCCTTCTCGGCAGCTGCGCGAAAGAGAGCCTCAGCTTGCAAAGCGTCCTGTGGCACCCCGTCCCCAGTAAGAAACAGGTTGCCCAAGTTGTATTGTGCCATAACGACGCCCGCAGCTGCTGCCTCCTTCCAGTATTGAACAGCTCGAGCCCGATCCTTTTGCACGCCACCATTGCCATACAGGTAGTACTCACCCAACCGGGACTTAGCAGCTGGGTCACCCGCTTCCGCCGCCTTAGTCAACCACTTCAAAGCCTCCACCTCGTTCTGGAGATGAAAGAAAGTATAGAGTAGTCAGGAACAGCTACACATGCCAGGTGCTATCGTCGTATCACTTACCTTTTCCGTCCCCGTTCCGTAGGTATACATATTGCATACGTTCATGTAAGCCGGCGGAATACCCACCTCAGCGCACTTTTTGTACAGCGCGAAAGCTTTCTTTTCGTTCTTACGCGTGCCTTCACCGCTATTTAAAGCGTCGGCGTACGCGAAAGCACCCCATCCATGTCCAGCAGCAGCTAGCTGTACAAACATCATTACACTAGCCCACTCAATCCCCAAATAAAACGTTACGTACCTCCTTGAAGAGCTTAGTAGCGCCTTTCACGTCTTTTTTCGGGAAACCTGACGATCAAACCACAGAGTCACTCGCGGTCCGACATAATGAATTGCCACTCGACATTATGCCACATGTAGTGCCTACAAAGCGTAACACCCACCTGAGCCTTTCTTCATGCACAGCGCATAGCTGTACTTGGCCTTGTCACTTCCCTGCACGTACAAGTGTGAACCCATTCACACACGTCAGCGAAAACAATGGCAGGAAAAAGAGGGGCTAAAAGCTACTCACCTGGTCCATTGCGGTCTTCCACACATGCAGCGCCTTCTGCACCTCTTCCTCGTTGTCATCGGCATTACTATATATCAAATTGCCCAGACCATGAAACTGCATGGGAGAGCGCAGCTTGGCCACCAGTGGTGACTCTTGGAACTGTCCGTCACACAGCCACAATCCAAGAATCAGTCGGCCCACAATCGTCCAGCAGCCAGCAATTCACTTGCACCTGCTTGAGCGTGTCGCCACGCTGGCCAAGCTTACGCATCTTCAGTAGCACGTCTTGCAGCTCCTGCGTAGCCATGTCCATCGTCAGCCACACACCCCACCTATGCGTTTACATACACCAATAAAAGACCAAAACCCGCCTCGTGCCCTTCTTTGGCCCGCACACTGCGCGCCTTGCGCCAGGCGCTTCGCATTTGCTGCATAGTTATTGACTGTGTTTCATTATCGATCTCAATAAATGCATCGACCTGTAATATCGTATTCTCCTGCCACACCACATCAGCAGTTTTATCGTCCGATCGTCCCACCGACCCGTTTGTCTTTTTATAAAACGAGGTTTATTTTTCTCGTGCGCTGACCAGCAACCGACATTTAGCGCGCGGAAGAAGCCACACGAGACCATCACTCTTTTTCCACTTTGTTGAAGCCACAGCATGAGCAGCGAGGACGCGGCCACGCGCGCCGAAGTCGCGGCCAAGCTGTGCGCAGCCAAGCGCAAGCAAGCTACAACGGGCGGCCGCAAGCTGCTGCGCTGGGACGCTGCGCGGTGGCAGCTGTTCGAGCGCACGCCGCCGTACACGACGCGCCTCAAGAGCGCGCCCCTTTTGCCCATGCGCGCCCCGCTCTCGTCCGTGTACGTGACGCGCTGTCCCGCCTGCTGCTCGGTCTGTGCTTACGCTCTTGTGTGTCTTCTCTTTCTTTGTGCTGCTGTTCTAAATAGCTACGAGATCCACTTTTCGAGTCGAAAGAGTCACGTGCCGTCGGTCGCGATGGAGCAACTGATTGTTGACACGCGCTCGGGCTCCGTCGTGAATGTGGGGCTCGTGATTGATGCGACGGGGAGCGACACGTTTCTGCACGATGTCAAGTGCGTTGCGGTTGTGCTTTGGGTGGTGATGAAGAGGAGGGAGTACGAGAGTTTGACTGGCTATTTTATGGACTGGTAGGGAGTGGGACGACTGGGATGTTCAGTATGTCAAGCTGAAGGTTGATGGGAGTGAAGGTAGAAGCGCTTTTTATGCAAGTGGTTTGTCTTGGGTGAGGCTGTAGGCGTCACGTGAATGGTGTCGCTGTGTGGATGTTGTTTGTAGACGAGAAAATTGGTCGAGAAGTGCATGACGACAAGATGGCTCAAGCGTTTCGCAAGACGGTAGTCAGTCACTTGGAGGGCGAGAGAAAAGACATGGACGTGGCTGTGTTTGGGATTGATGGCTACAACTTTGTGGGGTTTCTTATTGTGAGGTGCGTGATGATAGTGTTGGCGTTGAATGAAGGTACTCATGGTGTAAAAAATGTGGTGCTGACAGCTTTTTGGTTGAACATTGCGGTCTGAACCTTGACGCTGCGGTTAAAGATTTCGCGGTCTCGACTCCGCCTGGAATCTA